CACCATTGTGGTGCGACAGCGTTCTCGCTGGTGATGGTCCCTTGGCGTTGTAAATCAGTTGTTGCCATTCATTCATAAATTATAAACTGTTATCTCACAGGTTTGATATAGAGAAGTCAACCAAAGCGGTACCTTGTGTAATGTCACGGATCAGCAGTGACATTGTGGCACCATATCAGTGCTGTACTATGGCATGGAATAGTGAACAATGATACGGTTTTTTGAGTCGCAATCCCTCCTGCTTTCATAATAAATTCCATCATGAAAAGATGGGTCAAGCATGCAGTCTTGTTATGAACTCCGCATCTGGCATATGAGTGACCAAAACCGGATGAAATAATATACAAATCACTTTCAGCAAAGCACACAACCCATAAGTGACATTACTTGCTCAGCCTGTTTTGGGAATCCACAAAACGTACATGGCCAAGATGCAAACACGTCTGCTTCCACAGCCATGCAATATGCTGCAGCCATCAGGCTGCTTCACTCAAAAATATTGTTCATGCGAGTAATAACACATGGATAACAAGACAATATCGCATGTACTAAAATGACGCTGCAAACCTTCTGACCTTGCACAACGCTGGAGACATGCCAAGCGCATGTAGTTATGATTAGATGGCGAAATACAAGGAAACGATGAAGCTGCCTGTGCACACAAGGCTCGTGATAATAATATTAAGTGCTATCCAAGAGACCAACAGCAATACTTCTCACCTTTCTCAGCACCCAGCATCTCACACAAGCTGCAGTGTGTGACAATGTGACTCACGAACAATGCTTTCCTACATACAAAATGGTTAAGACAGTCGTATGTGCACCCTCTAACACTACAACAACTATATTTCTAGAAATCTTAAGTGAAATACAGTTTTGCCAAAGCTGTATCATGCAAGGCTTTATACACCAAGTGTGTGCATTTAATGGACTGTGCTAGACCTGTCCCTACTGCCGAAATGAATTGCTAATATAATGACATGCAGTGGGATTAAGTGCATTGCTGTAATACCTAAAGAGGTAAAAATGTTGGCAAGATCATAATGAAGTAGCAAATTGCCTTTTGAACAGCTCCTGCAGCAGTGGGGTGCTAGTTGTTTCTTTCAGTTATCCGACATCCACTACCCTTTTCATCGTTCAAACGCAACCTAAAGTATATAGGCAGAGTATCAATATATTGCAGTTTATATGAAGAGATCATAGATTAAAGAATATTGAAACAATGTTCTCTCTCGGAAAGTTCAAACCTCCGCCCGCACACCCTACCCCATCGACATCAAGATCAGTACACAATGCCCACTACTAGCCTGCACCACCAGTGATCATACTCACTTGAAGCGCCTGGAATTCACACTATGACGTCAAAGAAGTGTAATCCCACCCTTGCACAACCCGCGGGACTGTTTAAAATTGCAGTTTTCTCGTCAAAGTTCCCGCACAGGTTTTCCGGTCATAAACACTGCCTTTCACTGTGAGATTCCCCTTCCACACAAAGTCCCACACGGGACGTTCATGGTAATGCAGGTCAAGAGGTTGTGTTTGTGGGCATATTTTTGTTCAATATTTAAATTTCCCCACAACATGTGTTGAATGTTTAGGAACATCTACATACAAATTTTGTAATATTTCCCTAATTTAATCATGCCTTCCCGGCCCATAAACCCGTGCAAGGTTCTTTGCTCCGTTACACAAAGCCAATCGAGCTGTCTGTAAGAAGTACGTCAGTTGAAAAAAAAAACGCCGGCGGGAGAAATAAGGCAGATTTGGCAACGAATGCCGCACAACCCGAAAGTGCTCGCGCTTACGTTCCCGACATGCATCCAGCAACGAAATCTTACTAACAACCAATCACCTTTCGCGGGTCGTATCATACGTGCCGCATCATCGCTGTTTTGACCATAAGCAGAAAACAGCCTGTAAAATAACGCAAATCCTACGACGTTCTTTTGGCGGCATCAATGCGAAGGCGACTTTGAAGAAGTCTCCCAATAAACCTTTTTGCACTTTGGCAGGTGTATCATTCAGGAACCAGAAGGTTTTAGGTCTTTAAAAGGGCATGGCCGTGAACTGCACTAAAAGGTCCTCAAGACTGGATATTTCAATTCCAAACCCCATGTAAAGTGGAACATTCCCTTTAATCGTAAGTAAGCAAAGTCCGGGGAAATTGCAACGCCGGCACTGCTCCATCGACAAAATCCTAGATCAGCCCGTTCCACGACGGGAACTAAAACCTGCCTTTCCTGACACCGTAACAATTATTTTCTAGAGGCGCCAAGTCCACTCGGTTGGGCCATTTCCAGGGACCCGAAGCCTTATTTGTACGGAACACCACGGTTTAGTCAAATTTCACCCTGACTGATTTCTAGGTCGACCACTTCGGCGGAGAGGCACCAAAAAACATTCACTGCGGAGCATAACAGCTCTCATTTTAAGAGTCCCTCTAGGCATCCCGCAGGTCCCCGCATCGCCAGAATAGCAGGCGTCATGTACCTCAGGCTGGGATGGATGAGTTCTCCAGCTCCTGACCAGGAAAGCTCATCTGCGCCATTTCGTGGTTAACTCTCTGAACGGAATTGGTAGCTGCATCAACACGTGCAATTGAGACCGCGTAAGGCAGAGCTTACATTTTGACTAATACCGCATTTGCATGTACATTTCTTTTTAGCCTCTTTCCCATTGCATTCCCCGCCGTTGCAATCCTCACTCGGCATAGCAACTGAGCCGCTGCCTGTAAGCCAGACAGCCAACGATGGGTCAGGCGGCCTGGTAAGGCGTCTGCTCGCGCACAGGCCGCGCCGGAGACGCAGCTGCAGGCCCTGCCGACAACAAGATTATCGAGGGGGGAGGCGTCCGGGTGGGAGTGCCGCACGCGGCTCGCCGAGACCTCGTCTGACGCCCAATTGCTAAAAGCATGTCCAGGATAAGGCCGAGCCGGAGGGCGGGGCAGCCGACAGAGCCGCGTCCCCCGCCGCTCGCGCTCATGCTGCACCGGAGTCAACCGACTGCCAGCGGACGACAAAGAAGGGTCCGTGCAGGGCGGAGCAGCTGGCCAGAGCGGAGCAAGCTAACGCAACCACCAGCCCCGCAGGCGGGCTTGGAGTTCGGAGTAATCAGGTTATGTATACAGACCCTGATGATAAGCTTCAGTGCGT